TCTGGTGAAAATTTCATGTCATTAGCACCTCTAGTAATATATTTACTGAGAAAAATGGTAACGTGTTCAATACTTATTTTACCCGCTGTATGTACCGGTATTTTACCTAAATAAGATTAAATTGTTATTCCTAGGGCATCATTATTGATAAAGAACTTTTATTAACCTTAAAAAGATATTTAAGGGACAGAATATTTCTTTGTTAGAACAAAAAATTAAGATGTTTGGAATTAAAATAAAATCAGTGACTGTGTTTTGTGTAATGATGGGATATGTCCTATTGTGAAACTGTGTGGCATTTGTGCTGCTTCTTATTTGCAGAAAAAAGAAAGATGTAATGTTTGAAATTAAAATAGGGGAAAAGATTTTATGTTACTATCATGTACTGTATATAGTACATTTAAAAATGACTTAGTGGGCCAAAGTGCTTTCCCATCAAGCTAAACAAGACAACATAATAAAAAATAAATATATTCTATATAAAATACAATAAATTAGAATAAGTAAATAAAAGTTCAAAGAAAATAAGGAAAGAGATTTGCCTCTGCACCACATCACTTTTCATTAAACAATAATCCACATGTATTTGATCATATAGAAGGCCAGCTGTTTCAGTTTTAAAAGCAAACTTCCTACAAAATTATTAATAATGACTTTAAAACTGTTCTGATAACAAATCAAATATAATTTTTTTTCTGTATAAAAATGTATATACTTTAAAAATCAGACAAATGAGACAAGTGTGTGAATCATTGCCTTTATTTCAAAAGATAATTTACAACGACCATGGCAAAATGGGCTTCTAGTTGCAACAAAGACCATTTAATCTGCACACAGAACAGTAAAATGGATTGAGAATAACCTGTTAAATTAAAATAAAAAATAGAATAAACAACAATAATTTCATATGAAGAGAAGGAGGCATTGTGATCTTTTTTGAAAAACTGCTTCAGTTTCAGTCTAAAATAATGCCAGTCAGAGTTCAGTTTCAGTTTTACAGCTAGTGAATTTCTCATGTTAACCTTTAACAAAAACGTAGTTTGTCCCAGAGAGCTTTTAAAACAAAACACCTTGCAGTTTCTGTCAGATGCTTCACAAGTTACCGAATCAGTGGCTCACTGAGCACCCGAGGAGCCTAGTCAGCATTTAAATAACGACTTGATAATGATTTTGAAAATGATTTTGAAATGAATCATATTCAGTGTTTAAAGAACATGACCCTTGTGGGACCTGGGGCATAAAGAGGGTACCATCATTTCTGTATAAACTAAAAAGTAGTGGGCCAACATATATATATATATATTTATATATATATTTATAGCTCCTGAAATACATTTATCACACTGATGTGAACATGGTAAGACACAGAATATGTTGACAAGGGTAAGTGGAAGATGAGATTGATGGGGAATTAAAAACAGGTGAAGTGGCAGGCTGACACATGCTAAACAGGAAATAAACACAAGCATACCTAAATAAACCAAATTAAGACTACAATCAAAATTAACAAAACACACCATCATTGATACATTTTGTGAGCTCTACAATGAAATTTTTTGTTTTTGACTTTTCAGACATCCTCTTATCCAGCCTCTCCTCCAACCTCACCCCTCTCCAAATCTGTACCAACCAAATTTCAACTCCCAACCCCATTCACTCCTTTTTCTGGACACACTAATTCCTCTGCACTTGCTGCTGAGATTCCGTTAGACTTCAGCTCACCACCTGAATGCACTACCCCTTTAGACACTTCTGCTGCACGGCACAGGTTGTCTATCAAACCCAGGAACCAGAGGGCCAGCACTAAGAAGAAATCCTCATTTGTGGTGAGAAATTGTAGCCTTTTTTTATGCTGGTAATAATGCAAAACATAAAAACAGTGATTGATAATTGATATTTGCTTTTTTTTTCTCCTCCATCTTTCTTTTGTTTTCAGAGTCAGTCTGGGTCTCCTTTACGCATTTTAAAACCATCTGACCAGTATGAGTTTGTAAAAGAGCAAAAGGAGCAGCCAGTTGCTCAAGAGGGAGAAGCAGAAGAGACAAATCAAGGAAAGGCTGACGTTTCTCAGCAGCTCTTGGTAAAATCTGCAGAACTGTTGCCGGTCACATCAGAGGCAGCACCCAAATTATTGAACCAACAGGAGCACGAGATGGTAGCCTCACAGACACCACAAGTCAACCCTCTGACACAGGTGGAAACAGCTCCTGCTACACAGCCAAATTCATCTTTCATACAGTCAAAAATAAAGGGGGAAACAGAAAAGTCAGAGAAAGAAAAGGCTGAAGTTTCTCAGCATCTTTTGGTAAAATCTAACGAACTGTCGCCAGTCACATCTGAGACATTAGTCACATCTGAGACATTAGTCACATCTGAGACATTAGTCACATCTGAGACATTACCCAAATTATCCAGCCAACCGGAGCATGAGACCTCACAGATACCTGGGGTCAAACCACTCAGACGAGTAGATACAGTTCCTGCTAAACAGCCACACTCATCTTTCCTAGAGTCAGAAATAAGAGGCAAAGCAAAAGAGACAAAAGGAGAAAAAGACAATGTTAGTCAGCATCTTTTGTTAAAATCTGCAGAACTGTCACCGGTCACCTCAGAGGCAGCACCCAAATTAACCAGCCAACAGGACCACGAGACATTTGCCTCCCAGATACTTCGGGTCAAACCACTAAGACGGGTGGATACCACTCCTGCTAAGCGGCCACACTCATCTTTTATAGAGTCAGAAATAAAGGGGGGAGCAGAAACGACAGAAAAAGAAAAGGCTGACATTTCCCAACATGTTTTGTTAAAATCTATAGAACCCAGATTATCCAGCCAAAAAGAGCACGAGACTGTAGCCTCCCAGATACTTCGGGTCAAATCTCTGAGGCGAGTGGATACAGCTCCTGCTAAAAGGCCACACTCCTCGTTCATAGAGTCTGAAATAAAAGAAAAAAGAGAGGGGGGTTTGGAAATACAAATGTCTGGCAAGAAGACTGACGTCTCCCCTGAGCAGCTCCCCGCGCTCAGCTCAGTGGCTTCCAGACCTTCTTTTGTGCTGCAGCAGTTTCATGGTGATGAGGAGAATATGAGAGGAATAAAGAGGCAACCAGGAACTAGCTTATTCCATTCATTTTCCAGCACTGTCAAAAACCAGGAGGAAGAAAAACCTCGATCAGGCAGTTTCGAAGAACTCCTGAAACAGACTGAAGCCATGAGTAAAACAACGGGAAAAACAGAGGAGAAAGAAAACGAAGAATTGAAAAAAGTGCAGCTCAAAGGGACACCCTTTGCTGCAGAAAGACTGAAACAAGAGGGATCTCCATCCAGAGGCCCAGCTGTTCTATGGGACAGAAAGCCCAGCTTCAAAAAGGCAGAATCAGCGAAAACCGTCTCCCAAGAACCAGCTGCTATAGAGTCAGAGAAAACAGAAAGCACAAACAAAAACCTAACCATTCTGTGGGACAGAAAGGCAAATATCAAAAAAGCAGAATCAGCTGCACCTGTTAAAAATGTTTCCCAGGTGTCAGCTGTCATGGAGGGTGAGGAAGTGGAAAGCAGCCAGGAGCTGGTAGATGTTGCAGAGGAAGCAAAGGAGGAGGAGGAGGGGAAAAGGGCCTTTGGCATTAAGCTGCGCTCCACATCTCTGTCACTTAAATTCCGATCTGAAACCAACTCTTTCCGCTATTCAAAGGATGACCAAGATGACAAAAGGAAAAGACAGGAAACTGGTAACATTACGAGTCAAATGCCTGAAAAGGTGCCAACAAACACAGGTTGTGTTCTCAGACCCAATGGTGAGTCAATGAGTACATTTAAGTTTCTACCAAAAGTTTTTTTTTTTTAAATATAACTGCAGAAATGAGAAAAAATAAAGTATCTATGAATTAAAATGTACCGATTGATTATGAACTTAGCACAAAAAGTAAGGAAGTTTGTGTTTGGTCTTTTTTGTTGTTGTAACAAGCTTCATGGCAATAAATCAATTCGGTTGTTCTATGGAGAGAAATAAGTCTCACAATGCGAGTGCACATGCACATCAACATTCGAGCAAGCGTGCAAAGAAATTTGAGCAAACACATCAAGATTCGAGTGAGCAACAAGATTTGAACGTGCACAAGTGCAGGAATCTGCTCGCCTGTGAATTTATCTTTAGAGACTTTCACACATAAAATGTTGCGTTCAAGGCTGGTGAAAAGCTGGAAACTCTGAGCTTTACTGCATTTTCTGGGTTATTGGGAAAAATACATTTCTGACTTGGCACAAAAGCTCATAAACCCTACAGTATAGAACACATACACTTATATTGATATTACGGTGTTCTAAAAATATTACATTTTGTGGACTGTACACCTGAAATAAACAACCTAAAATGAGTAGGTTGGAAATTTATCAGAACAAACAAATAAATAAATATTTCTGGAAAAATACATTTTTCTATATTTTTTTTTTCAACAAAAACTACCAATGGATAGATTTCCCTTTTTTTCCCCAGAGGATAAATAACCTAACCATTTTAAGTTGTTTACTTTAAATGTAGCCTACAGTCCCCAAAATAAGAAAGCAAGAAATAATAATTTTCTATTTTACTTACAGTATTGGTCGTTGCTGCAGAGGAACACTGATAAACACTGTATATGTTTTCAGCCATTTTTGTAGAAGAATAACCTAATAATTTAACTTTAAAATAATCTTTCCTGTATAATTTCCTATATTTTTGTGTGAACTGTACATTTGAAGTAAATACTCAAAATAATATTTTCCAGTATTTTTTTCCAAAATTAAAAAAATATTAATTTTGTGGAATGTACTGCTGAAATAAATTTCTCTAAATGGATTTTTTTTTACTGCAGGGAATGTGTTTTTCCGGAAATATGTATGTATTTGGTTTGATCAATTTTCAACCTGCCTATTCTTGATGTCCTCAATTAAATCTTGTTGTGCATGTGTGCTCATATTGTGAGACTTACTTATCTCCATATTATTTCCCTCTAAATGGTGCCACATTTGTAAGAAATATTCATTTGTTTGCCAGTAGAGTTGAGAATGTGGACTGTGCCCTAAAAATTTTGCCAAATACCTTTGCCAATGCCAAACAGCTTACTTTGCTATTTGTTTTGAGCTTCTGGAAGCCCAGGTGCAAACAACTAAGKGCCTGGTTGGTGCCTGGTTGCCTGCATGTGTGAACATGGACCCTACTAGAGCAATCTTCTCCAAGCATGCCACATTTTGACTGATCTAGGTTCTGTACCATAGGGTAACTTCAGACTGGTGTTCCACAAGCCAAGTTCTATAGAACTGGGGATGTCAGAGACAGACCACAAAGTATGCTTTCTTGAAGATGAGATTCTGAAACCAGTCTGGGACAGAACTCAGAATTTAGATAGGATGGAATTGCCTGACTCAACTCCACTGAACACYTATGGGATCAGCTCAAGGGTCTTGTTCATTACAAAGAGACCAATACAACCACAATGGCTGACTTATAACAATTTCTGGTTGAAGAAYGGGATCTCAAAGCTGTGTGTGACCAAGTTGATGAGCAGCATGAGAAGGTGTTTGGTTGTTGTGGCTGAGTATGGTTCTTCCATGTGCTCAGACTCTTATTTGTTAGGGGAATAAATTGGTAAACTCTCAAAATCTCTTGTTCCTTCAAACTTCAGTCACCCTCACTTAGAAACAACACCAAACAAGAGTCAGCACAAGCTGTATGGCATAGGCAGAGAAGATTGAACAAGTATTTCATATGCACAATCCTTATCCTCAACTCTTAAATATGCCTTCCTTACAGATGTTGCACCATTTAAGGAGAAATAAACAAGCATTCCAATGGTATATGACCTATTGCCAAGAAGTTTTGTTGCAACAAGGAAGTTCTAAACCAAACACAAATTTCCTTACTAGGTCATGTGAGCTATTAAGTTACGTATACTGTGACGTAGTGTGCCTTCTTATTTTACTGCCTTGTAGAGTTAAATATTGCACAGATACTTGTGTTGCTATGTCTCTGAGTCCCTCATGGTAAATAATCAATCTAGAAAGATAAAAGATTTGCTTATCACAGGTGAACTTTGCACTCATTAAAACCACTGCTCAGTTRTTTTTAAACAGTTTCCTCCAGCAACTCTAACAGACTTGTGTCACTTCTTTAGATCCAGCCCCATCTGGCACGACCCTCCCAGTCAAGCATAACACTTTGCTGACCGACAATCCTCCTACCATGTCCTCAAAAGTTCAAACAACTCCTTCAAACAACAAAGAAGCAGAAACCACTCCCCAGCAGCCTCAGCCTACCCCTCAAACATCCTCATCTGAGGTGTCCTGGATGAGTCTGGCCATGGAAAAGACCAAGAGCCTCCAACAGCTTTTCACCAGCAGATTTCCAAGAGATCTTACAGGCTTGCCAAGCACTGCTCGACCACAAGCACAGGCGCAGCTTAAAAATCAAACAGAGGCTCAAATACAAACAAAAGACGTTCAGCAAAGCACAATCCAGCCAGTAGTGGATAAAATAAAAGAAGATTTAGTTCAAATTCCAAGTCAAGAGCAGGTTGTTAAACCATCAACAGTGGCAATGCAACGGAAGTTGATACTGAGAGAATCACAAATGTCCAAACAACCAGTTGAAGGCCAGTCCCAGACAAACACAGCTCCGACTGCTTCTCAGCCTGCACACAGCRTCTCCTGGATGACCCAGTCTCCTTTACGCTCTCATTCACAAACACCCACCACATCTCAGTCCCCACAAGGGAGTCCATCCCAATCTTTTGCTCAGTCTTACCTTTCCTCAGGCCAACAACAACAGCCTTCCTGGAGTAATCAAGGTTTTCAGGCAGCCACCCAGGTCAAACCTTCAGCTCAGACATCAGAGGTTTCAGGGACATCTGTTCCTGTTTCAGACTCTTCTTTGAACAAAGATAGTCCATCGCTGTCTTCCAGACCCACAATTTGGACCGGTTCGGCCGTCGACAGGGCTGCATTTTTGGAGAAACGAGCAGAGTGGACGTCGCCACCGTTGCTCAAAGCGGTTTGTGACATTTTCTAACAGAGTCTCATGCCATCTTCCCGTTAACGTTTGACATCTCTTTTCAAATTCATCCTCATGCTGGAAATACATCAGCATAGCATTTACAAACATTGCAAATAAGGTTAATTTTGTACATCAGTCTGGCAAAAAAAACTGATTTTAATTTTATGTATTTTACATAATTGAATAAGTCTTCCTTATAGGTAATTCTTTGAAGAACAAAAACATCTCATTTGATCAACTGTACCCTTTTAAAGGATTGAAATTTCTTTTAAAGATGGGGTTCTGTAGAAATGAATTGGATATAACTATCTTACCTGTTATTGCTTTTTGAATGACCTCTGTTTGGATAAATTCTGACTAGACTGATGAAATAATGTCTACTCATAGCTTGGCCAATAAAACAATGTAAGTCTCAAACATTTCTTAACAGTATGCTTAAATACAATTTTATAAACCTTTTCATTGTCATTTTTGCATTTCWTGATTATTCTGGATAGGAAGTGCTTCAAGCTACAAAAGAAGTGCTGCAGATGCTGCTAATTGTTTGCAAAAAATCTGAGAATTCTACGTACAGCAAATAATCATATAATGTGAAATTGACAGCAATGTCACAGCTTAWAAAATATTATGTGCATGAGTTAAATTGTTTTGAAATTCCAGCAATCTACTTAGACTAGCTGTTAARTTTGTATAATCAGGCTGAATTGAATGTGGTTTCCCCAAAMTGAGATAAWATAAAAGGCTATCTATAATTATTTRTWWATGACATTTCTAAAATTCAAAAGCTATAAACTGTTCCTTTAAGTCAAATTGATGTACATGAAGTTGCTAAAAGTAGTTATTGGTACATAAAATAAACTTTGGTGCCTATTGTTACAATTAGGCAATTATCATTTTTCAATAGCAACATAGTTATTTTAATTTATTC